AAATTGACCCGGGCTGGTCAGAGGATGCCCCCTCTTGTTAGATCTGTAGTTCTTGCTGTTGGTTAGGGCAGTTCTTCCAGGGGTGGAAAGTGCAGAACAGTAATGGCTCTGCTGCTCCCCTCCCTGCCATCTCCTGTTTGTGTGTCTCTGGCATCGGCACATGTGGCTCATGCAGCACCTGCTTTTGTGACTCTTTTGTGGCATCTATTTTTTGAAAACAAAACAGGTATTTTGCTTTGAAAAATAAAGTGTAACTCTCCAAGGCTGGCCTCTTTGAAGAATGGATTCAGACAGAAATGGCCTTTCTAAATTATAGGTTTAAAATTACCCTACCATTATACAACAGCTTGGCGCTTCTCCAGAAAACTGAAGACGTTTGGAACCTTTTCCACTGAAACGATAATTGCCCAATGAAAACAGGATTTGGGGAAACATAAACTGACATCAAGCTACTCCTTTTTGCTATAAATTATATTGACTCTGCACTATTGCAAAATTACTTTTGATGATTTGACCATGGAAGAATGTAGCGAAAGACTCTTATTACCACACTCCCATGTGCAGGGAAATTGCAATACTTCCACTCAGATCTGAGCTTAGACGAGACTTTCCACTGACTTCAAACAACTCTGCCTTTCGTCCTCAGAGTTGCACAGGCCACTATTAAAATATCTTTAAGGTTCTTAACAACCAGGTGTTTCCTTTGTGTTGCAGGATGGAAGTCACTTTTTTCTTCTTCAACCAAATTTTCAATATTTGGTTTGTTTACTCCAAGCTGCCTTGAAGGCAGTGATGGACAGGAATGAAAAAATCCCGAGTCTGACTCTGAAAAAGAAACAGGTATTTGTGCAAAGTGTCATTTTTTCTCATGAAACTCCCTGTTGCAGGATACAGTGGAGTTTACTAGTATACTGGAAATCATTTAGGAAGTTTTTAAGATCTAGATCAGCAAATGGATAAACAGATGTGAAGAGGGTTGGGAGAACATGCTTAATGCCCAGTGGGTACTGTCTGTGAGCACTGGAAGTGCCCAAGTGAATCGAAGAAACAAACTTTCCCAGGGACTGTGAGTGACTTCTTTGTTTGGCTCAGTTTGCCTACCTACTTTATACTACAGGGTGGAAAGGCTTATATTTTCCTCTGTGTAAGAGAGTAAAAGATGGATGTTACTCAGAGAGCCTGTTGGGCTGGTAAAAGTGAACTGTCAGGGGACTGACAACATATGAATGCAGTTACCTTGGAGATGCAACAGAAGACCAACAACTAGACATTGAGGTTTTAATGAATGCCTGCCAAGCGAGGCAGAACGTGTGAAAACAGCGTGGCTGGTCCCTGAAACAAAGGACTGAGGTGCTGGGATGCTGAAGGAACTCAAAGAGGAGGAGGAGTGGTGTAAGGCCACACCTGAAGTCCCTCTGGGGCTCTGAGCCCAGAGGAGCTGTTTGGAAACATTTATTTCTGTGTGTCTTGTGTGCAGTCGCTCAGGAAACCATTGGCAGGCCCATGAAAAGGGGCAGCCTTTAAGTGTTGGGTTGTGCCTGATAAGGGTATCAATAGCCTGCTGTGAGAGAACAGAGAACAAAATCAGTTAATTGACAAGAGAAAGGGATTTTGATTATACATATACCTAAACAGCCCAACTTACAGGTAAAAGCAAGAGCTAATTTCCAGCCCTCTTCTCAAATGAATTCTCTGCCCAGTCCCTGCTTACGGTATAAACTCCGAAATGCATCCTAGACTGACTCCAAGTAAGTTTGAGATGCTTGTGGATTAGTAAAGGAAAGGTTTTCTGTGTGTGTGTTCTGTATCAGGATGTCACTGTTAGTACCATTGAATCAGCTGAGCTAGAGGGCAGATGACTGAGTGTGTGTAGATGTGTAGATCTGTCACTGCTGCAGTATTTGCCGAGACAGGGATTACATCCCATGGGGCAAAGGGCTGAGTGCTCTCTTCTGAACTGGAGCTCCCTCCCCTCTGCTGCAAGTGCACAGAAGGCTTGGTCGTACTGAGATCTTCAGGGTCTGGCTCTTTATTTTTCCTGTGTTTCCAGTAATAGGGGATAATTCCTTCTGTGGAAGGCATGTGTGGGGCCAGAAGAGTGCTCTTTGGATTTTTCTCAGTCATTCAGCTCAGCACTGAGAAGTTCTCTCTAGACCCTTCTCCTGAAGTACTTGGTGGGTGGGCCAGTGGGAGTATTTTATTGCTGCAGTTTTGAACCTGACTTTCCCTGGAGGGGTTTGGTGGACATAAGGCCAATACTGATCTCAAGTGTACTCCAAGGGACCAGTCTTGTCCACAATGGCACAGTAAATTCGCCTTTTTACACACTGACCTTGTGGCAGGCCTATATCTGTTTATAAAAAAAAATACTTGAAATGTGTTGTGCTTTTTTTTTTTTTAATATAATCGCTTCCTATCCCTCTACCTTGAGGATGATTCTTTTTCCCCGTAGTTATAGAGTTGTCTTCAGGAAAGCTGATGTTTTGTGACTTTAGGAAACATGCTCTCTGCTATGTGAGAATCTGTAGTATTTGTTAGGGCCTTGGAGCCGAGGTTGTGACTGATTGCTGTCAAGGAAAACTACTCATATTTGAGGCAGCTGGGGGTTTGTTTCCTCCATCAGGCATGGAAAGAGGTGGAGTGGGAGTCCCTGGCTCCCTTCCCCTGTATCAGATCACGCTCTGTGCTAGATCAGCCAGTGTTAGAACTGGAACTCTTGTCTCGAGTCCCTGCACCATAAGTTACCATCCGGCGATACTTCGCTGAGTGCTGAAGCCACACGTCCTTGTTTGGTCATGGGCTTGGGTGGACAGAAGGACTCCCATTACAGAAAGGTCTAGCAGGTCAATCTAGTTTGCTGATGAGCAACATCAAAGAAGTACCATCAACACCAAAGTGATTTCCATGGAAGCTCAGAGAAAGGTTTGAAAAACACTTTGCCTCGTGAGAGGATAATTGCAAATGTTTGCATGTAACAGCCCGGAATGCCTAAAGTTATAGGTGCTTGCTTGTCTGTGCCTATGGGAGGAAGAGCGTTTGCTGTATCCATGTATTTTCCTGAGTGGATGAGAGCATTCATGCCAGCAGGGAATTCAGCCTCGTGGGAGTAAGGCCAAAGGGTGTCTGTCTGTCTGGCCGTCAGTGTGCTGGAGCCTTACTCAGGAACTGGGACCTGACAGCTACGCTCTGCTGCACGAAACCCAGCAGTGTTAATGGTGTTGCCAAATTTAACTTCCAGCCATCTCCCAAGCTGTTTCTCATTAGCTGTCCCAGCTGTGTCACTGCTGCTGACGGGAACTGGCCTCCACAACCTGCTCTGTAAACACACTTTCCAGAGCTCAGCTTGGACAATGGTTGTGGCTCTGCTGCTGCGAGTCCCCTGGATTGGATCTGGGTCCATCCCTAGGAAAGGATTACGAAACAGAAGGCTCATATCATCACTGTTTGTTTATGGTGGTTTCAGGAAACGTGGGAGCAGCGTTACAGAGAGGATCTTTCCATTGAAGCCTGTGGATTCTCTGTAGAGAACCTGTCTGCTCTGCACTGCAGTAGCACTGATCTTAGTCCAGAAACAATTCGGGTATTTTTGGCTGCACTTTGGAGGAATTCATTCAGTCTAATGGCATTTCAAAGGGGAAAAACAAAAGTATCCAGGAGCCTGAGGTTTGAGAATTTGGCCGTTGCACACTGGGTGGAATTCTGAATGGAAAAATAGTGTGGATTTCTGCTATGCAGAGCTAGTTGTCCAGACCTATTGCGCTACCTCGTGTCAATTAAATACTACAAATAAAAACTACAGGATGTCTGCCACTAAATGCTCGTATTCAGTTGCCTTTCATAGGTTCAAGATTGCCTGTAACCCAAGACAGAAATAAATATGTATGCTGAATTGCTTTGAATTAATTTCCATTAGCAGTATTAGCTACCAGTATTGCAAGGGCTTTAGATAATTTTAACAATATGATAAAAAAGCTGTGCTCTCATAAGTCAGAAGGTTGGAAGGCAATTGCAGAATGAAAGCTTAGGGTAAGTGCAGGAGATGAGCAGGCAGCTGAACCTGCTGGTGTAGAGCACAGCTGAAGGAGGCCGTAGTGTTTTGTTGAGCCCATAATTGTAAAAGGGGCAAAAATCTTGAAGCAGAAGAATCAGCTTGAATGCTCTTCTGTCTCCTGGATCCCATCTGTAATGTACCCAAGCCTGTGCTGGAGAGGTGTTGCACACATGTAAGTGGAACTTGCTAACATTCATCAGCTAACCAGGATGTGCCAGGTCCCTGGCTCCAGCATCTGAGGGCACTGGGCTCTTCCCAAACCCCTCCATCCCTCCCTGTGCTCTGCACGGAGGGTGTGAACCCTGCTGTGGGCAGCCCAGCAGGGACAGTGCCTGCTGTTGCCTGCTGGGCTTTGGTCAGCACAGCTGCCTGGGGAAGACAGGGAGCTCAGGCTGTAAATCTCTCCACCACAACATCATCAAATCCCATTTCTCTTGGTGCTGGGCTGTTGGACGCTTTGCCTTTTTGTTTGGCTGGTGGAAATCCTGAGAGTGAGTGGGGCATTGGGAGCTTTATGTTGTTGTTGTCACTGGGGAAAGATTTGCTTACTAGTGATTGCTTATTTACTTATTTTAATTAAATCCAAATGGTGGTTTTAGACGCTGAGACTGCCTGACCCTGTGTTTTCTGAAAGCCCATTGATGCAAATGATCTGTGTTTATGAAAAGCTGAAAAGTGTGGCAAGTATGGTAAATTTTGCAAGGAGCCCAGCTGGGGGGAGATGCTCTTGTCCTTCCTGCCAGGTTGTCTGCATTGGGATCAGAGTGTTGAATCACAGCAACGTGCAAGGAGCAGCAATATTCTCCTCTGTTCTCCATATGGAGATGGCCACTGTGGGTCCCACGGGGAGGATGAGTGCAGCACTGCTGTTAGCCAGGTCATGTTTGCATGAAGTGCTGGGGGAAGGACCTAATGCAAAACCCCTGACCAGACTTGTGTCCCCTTCCAGAGATGCCCTGGATGCTGCCAGCGTGCTCTATAATCGAGTTGATGAGGGCGTTCACCGACTGGTGATGTTGTCAAACAAGCGCATCCAGGAACTGGAGCTGGTGATGGAGTTTGAGAAAGTGGAAGAGTGTTTTAAGGAGGTAAGGCCTGCCTGTCAGTTCCAGTGGTTGCCTGCTGCTGCCCTGCAACACTGTGTCCCACAGCAGGAACTGGGGACCTCCCTTGTGTGGAGGTGTACAGTGGTGCCTGGAGATGCTTAAAAAGAACAACTGAACATAAGAATTTAGAACAGAGTTTTCAGATGTGCTGAGAACGAACCCACTGTTTTGCCTGTTATCTCCTGATGCCAGGTAAAAGTCTCCTGGCTTCTCTCCAGGTGCGGACCAGTCAAACCCCATAAGCATCTGTGAGGTGGCTCATAAGTAAGCACCACATACTGGTGGGTGTCTTTTTTTGACCCTCCCTGCAAGACTGTTGGTGAGCCATTCTTCATGCTTCACCTTGAAAAGCAGCAGAGCTATGACAACAAGCTGATGCTCAGCCTGTGTCCCCTCTGGGCCATATGTCCTGCAGGGTTTGCTGAATGAGCGTGCCCCACACTAGCTGCCCATCCCTGCAGTGCACTCTGTTGTTTAGATTCCTGTGCTGTGCTCAGGTCCCTGATACCTGATAAGCCCAGGCACACTCCTTCCCCTCTGGGTGCAGCCGCAGGCAGATTGGTTTGCCTTTGGGTGCAGCCCTGTGTACAGTCTCCAGGCAGGAAACAGCCTCTTGTCCTTAGCCCAGGAGCCGTGCTCAACCCCCCCTGCACTGCTGTGAGACCTTCGACTTCCCTTCATATGGTACTTGTTGAAGCTCTTTACAGCCATGGCATAACTGAAGCAAACAGGCACTGGCTTTCAGAAAGACCTTTGAAACCATGTAGGTAGAGAGCCTTAAAAAGTCATAGAATAGCCCAGGTCTGTCCTACAAGAGCTAATCAGTCTTTCAGTGTTGCAGATCCTTAAGCCTGAAATCAACCATGAGATTATGGAGTCACACCATTTCCTGTGCTGCAGCTCATCAACATTGAGAAGGTTCACGTGTCCTTAAAAATCAGTATTAGGACCCATTTCACCATTGCTCTTCTGGGATTCTGGGCTCCTCTCCTCTGGAGGGAACTGGATTTGCAAAGGAGCCTGTAGCCTACCTGTTGTTTTCACAGGCTGAGGTGGATCCAGGAGTTTTAATGACTTCCCATTTGGAGGTAGACACTCGGGCGCCATGCAGTGTGTGCTCAGGACAAGAAGTGTGATGCAAGAACCTGGTAGAGACTCTCTTGGAAACATATAGGTTCCTAAATACCAGGCAGAAATGTAAAAAAGGCACAAAGGCAGGCTCTGCAACCTGTCCCTGCTTTAAATTGAACTTCTTTTTTTTATTCAGTTGAGTAACACTGACTGTTCCCAGCTTACGTTTCTTGCAGATCACTAATGATGGCAGCAGCTACTCCCACTTTTAAACCTGCCTAGGAGCTCTAGGCAGCAGCAGTGTGTCTATCTGCAGTGCTGAGAACCCACCCCAGAGGTCTTGTTCTGTGGGTACAAGACTAGGAGTTTGTCCTGGACTGTGCAGTTGAGTTGGGGTATGGATTTAGATGATACAGGAGAACAGGATGCTTGGGCGTTAGGAAACACTTAGTGGGCGTTAGGAAACACTTAGTCTGTCCCTTCCCCCAGGTGCAGCTATGCCTGAAGCATTGCAGACAAGTTTACCAGCCTGTTTTTAAAACCCACTAATGATGGAGATGCTGTGTTATCCTGCCTGGCCTCCTGGGACTGCTTTGCTTTTAGGAGGGTCTCGTTAGTCAGTCCTCTACCCCTGTTTGAGGATATAGGCTGATAAGTGCAGCAGTGGCCACCCTCCATTGAGGAACCTGCAGTTGCTGCTGGGATTTGTGGAGAGCTGCCTTCAAAAAACCAGTATCTGAGAGCCCCAGAGAGCTGTGGAACACTGCAGATGGGGAGAATCCATCAGTCCCCCCACAATGACGTAGTTCATGTGCTGCCAGTCAGAAAAAGGAAGTGATGTAGGAAATCTGGCAGCAGGGAGATTTGATCCCAGTTGGGGGTAACAATAATAGGAATGTCGGGCCAGTCTGCAGGTTCAGAGCTCACATTAGACCATGGCTCACCCGAAACAGAGCCCAAGCAGCTGCTTGCCCTGTTTATGCCTGAGGCTAGTGAGCAACAGCAGAGCTTTGCAATTACTCTGTAACCTGAAGTGGAAAAACTCCTAGCAGGAGGCTCAGACTGAAAGGCTTGGATGGGGGGAGCAGTCTACACACACATTCTTTCCAGTAATGAGATGACCAGTGTTATGAGAGCAGTTCCTTGCTCTTTCCACATAAAGGCCTACACTGGTGAGTAGCACAGGGTGACTAATAATGGGGCTTATCCCTTTTCTCCTAGGTCAGCAGTTGGATTGAGAATGTTGGCAGAAAAGGGCTAAAGGAAACTGTCAACCTGGATGATTCTTTGGAGATGCTGCTTCAAGCGCAAAAGCAGTTCAAGGAGTTTGATCTTGTTGCCAGTGTAAGTGTTGTCTGATTGGAAAAATATATTCTCCAGTGTCTGAGTTGGTCACATGTGTGTCTTGTACGTGCTCAGCCAAACCCACCATGCTAAGAGGGCTCATCACCAAGGTGTGTGTCATTTCTTCACACTGCTCAGCATCCTTGCTCTCCTCTTGGAGGAAAAGCCACCAGCTCAACACCTTAGTAGATGGCATTTGCCAGTCTTGGGGAAAATAAGTAGTGAGATGGAAGATGGATTTTTTGGTTACTCCTTTGATGTGCTTGTAACACAGCCTATTTTGATCTTAATTGACCCATGGCCCTTGCTGTGTAGGCCTTTACAAGCTGCTCTGTGACTGGTGTAACTCATAAGAGATCAGGGCTCCAGAATTCTACTGTAAACAAAGACACCCCTGCTCATGTGATTTGAACCTTAAAACCCCATCTAATTAGCCCTAGTTGTTAATGACCTTGAAGACTACCTGCTGTCCATGTCTGGTCTCAGTCCTCACACGCAATCCGATTTCGTTTTTAGGAATATTGCAAAAGGGGACAGGAAGCATTAAAGAAGATGGATCGATGGGAAGACTTTTCCTCTGTGGATGTGCATTCTTACAGGGTAAAGCTGCAGACCTACAGAGATCAGCTGGAGGAGTTCTGCACTGAGCTGGATGAAACCAGGCACCGAATCTGTGAAACGGTCAGGCTGTACGAATTCTTTGACAAGGTAAGACAAGGCATCTGCTGCACAGAGGAGGGTGTAAAAAGCCTGCTTGGACTCAGTCCAGAGCTGGGTTTTGTATGAAGGGTGTGAAATGGAGTGTTTGCTCCAATAGGGAGCTGGATCTATAACCTGCAAAAGTTCCTTCACGCTCATGTGTCAACAGTGATTTTTTTCAAGTCAGTGTGTGGAAGAAGGCGAGGGGGTGTATTTCAGAAAATGTCCACATCTGTTAAACACAGAGGTTTGCTGCTGTCTGAGCTGGAGCTTTTAAACCCCTTTCATGGCCCCAGTGGACAGAAGGATCATGGCAGTGATGACAAGGGCCAAAAGACTGGTTGGTCACGTCCAGTCTTGGCCACCATACCAGGGTGGGCTGCCTGCATTTTGTTCATGCTGTATCCTGACACACTGGAAAATTCAGCCTGTTGGCCCACCAGGATTAGCACCCTGCTCTTCAGTCCTGAATACAGCCCAACTCCTCCCCTGTGGAGGCCTGCTTGAGGAGATGGAGTACCAGAATGGGGTGCTGGGAAGTGTGGCTGAGGGAACAAGGGGACTGGGTCATCCCAGGCACCTGGGAAGCAGGAGGAGAGAATGCGTGTGGTGACCGAGTGCCTGACTTCACCAGCTTGGTTTAATGCAAACCTTCAGCAGACCTGCAGTTGGGTTTGATGTTCTTTAATTTCTAAAGTTGCAGATGAATAAGCAGTAGGATTTTCTAAGTGCATTTTAAAATACAGCTTTGGCAAGCACAGAAGGCCAGGGAGCCTGTGCTTCATTTATTCCACACTTGTACAAACATCGGGTATTGAAGTTCTCGAATTCCATAAAGAATAGACACTAAAAGTTAAGCTGTACCAGATGTAGGTGCCACTTAGTTGCTGTCTCTGAGCTGCCTTGGCAGCCAGAAGTGCTCAGGGGAGGGGGGAGGAAATTCAGCTAAACATGAAAACATGGAGAAGCATCCTGTGTGAGGCAGGAAAGTGGAGAAGGCAGCCTGGAACATTGCTGTCAGGGCATGTGAGGATTGAGTTTGTTTGGTGATGCTCTGCAGGTCTGCTCTGGCTCATCTCTGCAGTTTGCTGTGCAGGTGGGAGACCATCTTGCTGTGAGAATGTGTAATTTTCCCCCCCCCAAATGGAAAGAAAAGTGCTTCCTGTGCCACAGGAGAATGGCAAGAACCTGTGCCTTCCTCACTGAACACAGGCATTCAGGGGCTGCTCTGGTCCCTGAACACACCTTGCCATCACAGGAGATCCTGGGAAGGATCCTGAGAAGGGTGGGGTTTATCCTGTTCCTTCTGAGAAGCTGAGACACACAAAGCAACAAGCCTTGCTTGGCATATTGGCAGTTCTGTGGTTGAGCCAAACATTAGTCCTATAAGAACCCACCCAGCCAAAGCTGGAAGTCTCTGGAGCACATATGTGGACTGTAGCACATGATCATAGAACCATAGAATGGTTTGGGCTGGAAGGGACCTTAAAGGAATCATCTGGTTCCAACTCCCCTGCCATAGGCAGGGATGCCACCCACTAGACCGGGTTGCTCAGGGCCTCATCCAACCTGGCCTTGAACTCTTCCAGGGATGGGGCAGCCACAGTTTCTCTGGGCAACCTGTGCCAGGGCCTCAGCACCCTCACAGGGAAGAATTTCTTCCTAATATCCAACCTAACCCTGCCCTCTGGCAATTTGAAGTCATTCCCCTTCCCCTGTCACTCCTTTGTCAGAAGTTCCGCTCCAACTCTCTTGTAGCCCCTTCAGGTGCTGGAAGGTGCTCTAAGGTCTCTGAGGAGCCTTCTCTTCTCCAGGCTGCTCCATGCACTGTTCAGGCATGGTATCTACATCAGGGTGGTAGCTCTTGGGCTGCCAGGGTAGTTGGACCTGCCTCAACAGCAGTGTGTTCCTCCACAGCTTCAAAGCCTTTCAAAAAGCCTAGGCCATTCCTAGGGGCACAAATGCTACACAGACCCCAGCAGTGTCCCATTTCTTTTCTGAGAGCATGACAGCTTCTTTTTGATGGATAAAAACTGTGGGATGCAATGCTTGGCAGCAGCAGCATCCCTCTTGGTTGTGCCTTTCATGCTGCACTGCCCCAGTGAAAATGGAATGGTGGAGGCATGGTGTGTTTGCACACTGCTTTGGTGTGGAGGAAGAGCACCTGGCTTAGGGAGGAAGGAGGATTTTGATCTCACTGGTTTCAGTAGAACTATAAACAATGCTGGTGGTATAAATATACCGTGTGTGTCTTGTGAACCAGTGGCCAACCGAAACCAGGAGTGCAGGGGGATACATCCTGCAGCCTGTAGGACCAGGGCAGGAATTGCTGCGCAGTATGAAAGTTCTTTCAGTATGATTTTGATCTCCAGAACACTTTCTGCCTTCCCAAAGCAAAGTCAGTGGCGTGGTCTGGGAGGTGGGGGGTGTAAGCAGATTTTATCTAAACTGATTTCCCTCTCTCCTGATGCTGAGCTGCTTTGACCTTCCTGCAGCGATCTTGTCAGTGTGTGCCTAGCTCCCTTCTCTCTTCCCTAATATCTGAGGGGATATCAACAGCAGGAGTCTACAATAACCAATGTCCTCGATTTTCCTTCTTGTAAGGAGCCTGCAGTGTGCCAAACCCCAGGATTTGGGGAAGAGGCCCAAGGATGCGTAAGCAATGTACACTATGGTAATGAGCTGGCAAGCTCAGCTCTCCAAACATCTCAGCATGCACCAAGGGAGTGGAGCTCCCACCACGGGGATCGTGGCATTCATCCCTCACGTACCTCCCTGCCTCCTGGGAATGGGAGGCTCTGTTGTGCTACTCCTTCTGCGTGTGGTGGGTGAGCATTTTGTAGGACACTGCCTGTGGCTGCAGGACAGACCATGGAACAGGACAACACAACCCCATATGGGCTGTCAAGACACTCTACTGTGTTTTTTCACTGCTTGGCAGTTCCTGAAGGCCTGTCAGAGCTCCCTGCAAGGAGGCAGGCTGAGCTGGGCCAGACCACATGGAGCTTACACATGGGCTGGCAGGGTTCCCTCCCCAGAGCCATGCCTGGTGCCAAGCTGGATGTTTCCATTTGTCCTCGCTTCCTTTGCGGCAGGAGCCCTTGGTGCCTGACAGGGGCTGGATGATGACTGGGCTGAGGCAGGAGGAGCGGAGAAGGAAGCTGCCTTCCCCACCTCTGACTGTGGGCTGGAGGATTGTTTTTCAGTACCACAAACTCAGTGTGGGCATATTCGGGGACCTGCCATCTTCCTGTGGCTTCAAGCCTGGTCTGGCTGCTGTCCCTTGTTTACTCAATTCCAAGACTGCACTGGGATCTGGCACCACACAGTGCTTTGGGGGAGAACTGGGAAGCTGAGCAAGCAAGGGTGTGTATGATGTACCAAAAGCACTGATGTGTGTTTTGTTCTGGGGTGCCTGCAAGGACAGTCCCCAGTACCCTTCTCTCCTGCTGTCTATCCTGGCTTCACAGTAACACTGCCATAGGTACACCATCAAGACCAGGAGCAGCCACAGCAGGTTTCCCTCTCCTTGATGTCTCATTAATCTTCATATTTTTTCCTTTCTCAAACTTTCTTTGGGTGAAATTATTTCTCAGATCACTCCTATATCCCACACTCTTGCCTTTACCATAAGCAAAGTGCAGGTTACCTGGACTGCAGGTTTGAAATGGCCCATGTGAGAGCCGTGTGCCTTGTTGGGACTGCAGCACCCTACTTGAACTGTCCAGTGAGCCAGAGCACAGAGCATGGTCTCTGCCAGCCTTGGGATGACAACGAGTCCTGCAGAAGGTTGGGAGCAAAGGTGCACGATCCTTGCTGGCAGAAGTCACTCTGGAAGAAAGCACTGACCCAACCAGAAAGGGCATCGTCCCATCACGCTGGCTCAGCACCTGCATACCCTGTGGTGATGTGGTGCCCAGAGCTGAACTGCCTGTATCATTACAGGAGGGCCTGAGGCAGCTCCAGGGGCTTTTTCCTGCTTGTCAGGATGTTGTGCAAGATGGTGCTTCGTTGGTGCTCAGGGGACGTGTGGTCATTGCCCTGCCATAGCCTGGGAGCCTCTTGCAGCTTGAACCCTTGATTTGTATTTGCTTCCTGAATGAAGCTGTTCAGAGTCCCACTGCTCAGGATTGGTGGAGTGAGGCTGGTTCAGAAGTGGTAGGGTGGCCCATGGTGGGATTTCTTTGGGTTCTGTTCCACAAGCCATTCCTTCAGTGGTGTTCTCTGTCTGACACCCTTGGATCTCTTCCCCCAAAGGACCCCTGACCATCAGCCTGTGCTGATTCTTGTTCCTTGGTCATCTTTGGCTTTTCTCTGCTGCACGAAGGGAGCTGCTGCTTCTGAGCTCTGCTTGGAGTGGGCAGAGTGTTACCCGACCTCTCTCCCTTCTGTGTTTTCATCTCTCTGGGAGTGAGTTACCTGTGCTCACGTGTGGTTCTGCCCCCACAGCGGGTTCTCCTCTGCTCTCCTCCTCCTCTGGCTCTCCTCCTCAGTCACTTTGTTCTTTGTGGCTTAGAAAACAAAGCCCTTGGCAAGTGAAGGAGGTGCCTGCCCTTCCTGGGGGAGGGCCAGCTGGCCTGCATTTGATTATGGCAGTGCCTCCTCATCCCTCCCCATTGTCCTTGCTGCTGTAGGAATGCCAGCCTTTTTGCGCTCCGTCCTGTGAACAAGTGTTGCTGCTCTGGGGCCCAAAGAGGGGCTGGGGCCCTTCTTCCCATCCCTCTCACCCCGCTGCAGGAGAGCCTCTCTGCACATCTCCATGCACCTTCCCTCCGAGTCGCATCCACCCCGTCCTGGCTCCGGCAGCAGACGGACACAGCAAACCCCCTTGTAAGTACCAAGTGTCTGGTGCCCCGGCTGACGTGTGAGCTGGATTGGGATTGTTTGGAAACAATGTAGAGAAGGCTTTTCACTGGGTTGCCTGTGCGTGTCTGTATGCATCCAGCATGAATCAGATTGCTTTGTGTGCAGCTTTCGTGCGCTCAGACAGAGCCCTGTGGGCTGTGGGC